CCAACTGTGCAATTAGTTTTTTTTTCGTCTACATTTAGTACTCCATGCATGTGCCGTAAGATTCGATGTGATGGATACTGCGCAAAAAAAATTTGGTTTTGGGGGAAACTAAACAGGCCCTCAATCGGCAGCCCAAAAAGTCAAAATCAACGGTTCTAGAGGCCTGCATGGTCCCACGTAGATTTGCCGACAGGCTCTTGGAGTGGACTGTCGAGGATACCTGGATTCGGTTCCTCCTCCAGTCTTCCGTGGCCGGCGGTACACATGCATGCTCGTAGGTGGAGGTCATCCTTAACTTTGGACAATCCGTACCCGAAATTCTTGACGTCCTGGGCTCCCGTCGTGTTTTCGCAAAACCTGACTCGCAAAACCTGACGTTCTACGCTCGCTCGGCCGCGCTCAGACGGGTTTACCCCTAACGCTCGCGTCCGTTCCGCTCGCCACCGGACTCGGCATTAATTGCTCGATGCCTTGTTTCTCTTGGTCGCCGCCCGTTCTCGGCTCTCGCGTACGAGTAAAGGCCACTGCACGCGCCTCCCTTCCTCTCCGCAGCACCCGCCTCCCTTCCTGCTCGCTTCCTCGCTGCCATCGTTTAGGGTTGGCCGCGCCGACAGCGCGTTTAGGGTTCGCCGCCACGCTCTCCTGCTTGCTCGAGGCCATGGAGTCCGTCAAGGCGCAGCACTCCGTCGGCGCGCTGGACTTGGAGGCCATGAAGTCCGTCGATGCGCTCGTCTCCGTCAACGCGCTGGACTCTGATGTGGCCATGGAGTCCGTCGATGTTGTGCCGGACTCCGTCGACGTCGTCGTGCCGTACTCCGTCGAGCTCGTGTCGGACTCCGTCGACGTCGTGCCGGACTTCGTCGAGGACGTCCCAGACGACGACGAGGTCGTGCACTGTCCTCGCTGCGGCACGTTGCACGCTGGCGGCGTCTTCGGAGATGCTTGCTTCCATGCTCGCCGGAACGCTCGCAGGTGTGCACGTTGTGGCCTTCTACATGAAGACTACGACATCTCAGCAAAGTGGCTCCATCTAATGGACAGGTTCGATTGCGAGTTCTACATTCCTGATGTGGCTAAACTTGAGATGGATGGTACTAGAATCATGTGCACTGATGAAGTTTTGAAGAAGGTGGATGAGCATATTAAGAAGCAGCAAACAAAGAGCACTAAGGTACAGTACATGCATCTCACAATTTGGCCATTGCAAACCTAAGATACACGCATCTAATAATTTGCATAAACTAACTTGCATCTTCTAATTTGTTTCAGGAAGACTAGCAAGTGCTTCGGCTAGCAATGAAGCTTCACAAGGGATTTGCAATGACAGCCTATCTTCCCTCTCTAGTCTTTGTTTCTGTAAGTGAGGAATTTTTATATTGTTGCAACCTTTAAGCTTCATTGCTTCCTTCAAAATAGATTGTAGTGTTACAAAAATCCTGTTTGCTTTCCATGGACTGTACTCCAAGAATGCCTACAAAACATATGTCCAAGAAATTAGATCTTCTAAACAATCTTTCTTGTATTGAAACAATGGAATGGATGATCATTTACCTGTTCGACTACTGGAATTAGATCTTTCATTGTCTTAGCGTCTTTCTTGTATTGAATAGCTTGAATAGCTCGAAAAAAACCCAAATCTAGAATGTTAAAATCTGGAGAATTGGGTGGTTGACATATAAGCCGAATGTCAAACCCATCTTGCTTAGCAACCTCACAAAATTGAGGATCATCCACTTTTAAACGAGAAGGAGCATTGTCTTGTTGTATGAAAATCGGCTTGTTCACATCTTCTCTTGGCCACTTGGCTCTAATTACAGGCAACACTTTATTTATCATGAAATCTCTTATCACCTCCCTTGTGATTGATTGAATTGGCTTGATTACTTGCTCTCCGCGAAGACGATTGTGACTTCCTCTAATAGCTTGTTCAAAAGCGACTAGTGGAAAGCAACCTATTTTGCCATCAAACACACATTCTCCATTTCTAAATCTTGGCCGAGAATATACACACAAGAACATGATCCTAGGGATGTAGTTCTTGTTTTTGCAAGTGCGATGTGGTTCATCTTCCTCGGGTAGCAAGTAGTACCTCTCAGATTTTTGAGAAAGGTAGAACCATTTCTCATCAATAAACGCAAAGTCAAACAAATCCTTAAACTTTGGATCATCAACCAAACCTTGATCAATCATGTCCATGCACCACTTCAACCTAGTCTTTTTGTTAGCTTCAGTGAGGTAAGGTTTTGTGCTACTAGAGTGGCGCCTAAGTAAACCCTTTTTCAAATACCTTTGTATCCTAGATTTGCTAATACCAAGTCTACTAGACACATCTTCTATGGTCATTCTTTGCTTGAGAGGAATGTTGTGTAGTTGTTCCAAATCTAGAGGGGTTGCTTTACGACCACATCTACCTTTCTTTAGACTAGCAACCATGACCGGAATGTTTTGAGCAAGTTGGTTTTTACCTTGCTTTCATATGCGCTGAACTGATCGAATCTTTACTCCAAATTGACCGGCAACAATTGTTGTATCTTGCTTGCCTAGTTTCCCATTCTTGCTTGTTATCAACAATGCTTGGTACACTTGTTTTCTAACATGTTCAGGATAGTCATGCTTCGGCGGGTGTACTTGAACGGGAGTCTCAACATCTTGTTCTAACATGTAAATATAGGAAAAAGAACAAGCTTATTCATAGTAAAATGTAGTTACGGCATGATCTAAATATAAGGAAAACAACAAGCTTATTCATAGTACTCACGGCATGATATAAATATAGGAATAAAACAAGCATTTTAATAGTACATAATCAAAATAATGGCCATGCTTACCAGCTAGGTTTTGTACGTAATCAAAATCAACAGCTCCAAATTCATCTAGTGGCAAGTTCAAATCGAATCCTAAAAAAAAAGAAGAACATGCTCGTTTAGCGACAAGAGAAGAAGAACATGCAGCAGGAGAAAAAAATGGCGTTTTACATGCACAAGACAAGAAGAGGTAGTACCGTTGCCATGCTCGTCATCTTCAGGCTCGTTCAAATCAAATCCAGCGTTGCCGTCGTCACCTTCATGCTCGTTGAGATCCAAGGGAAGGTTGCCGTCGTCATCATCCTCTAAACACGGACGTTTAGATCAAAGCCGAAGCAAGACTTAGCCATTGCGCCGTAGATCAAAGCCGAAGCAAGCAAGCAATGAAGTGAGGAGATGAGGCGTTTAAGCAAGCAAGCAAGCAAGGCCGGAGGAAAGACTAAGTCTTATTACGCACCGTGGAACTCAAACGACGGAGCTGGCGAGCGCTAAAATTAGAATCCCATGGCGCCAACGCAAACAACGAAAAAATTGCGGTGCAACACGGCCGTAGCGCCAAGAAACGCGCTCAAATGAGAAAACAAACGTGCCCAGCGACTTCTGCGGCTCAGCGCACGCCACGCAGGGCCCAACAGTGCCATGCAAAAAATCCCATGCAAATGAAGCCCCCAGCAAAAACATTGTGGCCGCCAGGAATCGACCTCAGCTCGCCACTCTCACGCCTCAGTGCACTAGCCATCTGATATGGGTAACTTTCTCGTATGAGATGCACGCGTAACCATATTTAATAGGGGCAGACAGAGAAAAACACCCCTTAATTAATTATTCCTTGGTAAGCACAATTATATTCTAAATGTCAAGAATTTTGGGTACGGGAGAGTACATCCATTAGTTTACTTGTCAAACATAAATGCACGGGGTCGTGAAACAGGTTCGGATTGCTGCTGCCACTCTCCCTGCAGTGCGCGACCGTGACCTCTGACCTGACCTGAGTGAGTGGGAGACTGACTATTGCATGTCGTGCCACCCAACTACACAGGCCGCTGTCTGAAATGCAGCACGCCAGTACGGCGATTGGGACTGGACCCGGCCTGCAGCGACAGAGTCACAGACGGCTCTCGGTCCGTAGACTGTAGCCAGCGCGAGCTGAAAGCCACTGATCTGATCGCCTGATGAACGGAACGCCACCTCGGCCTGTAGCTTGCATATCGCCGGCGGCTCGAACCTTCAAGGCACAGCGGAAGCAGCAACGAAGGCTTGAACAGGTGTCTCATGAGTCATGACAGACGATGACGTGACGTGGCACGAGAGTCTTGGTCATCACGCAGGCTCCGCTCGCGCACGTACAGTACGTGTTTGCAGTTTGGACCACAGCCAGCGCAATTGTGTCGTGTCTTGGTCGGTCCGTGGTCAATCCTTGCGGCCGTCGTTGTCCCGCCGCGGCGCGCGCACCCACGAGGCCGCGATCGCAGTCGCAGCGCAGGGCGTGTGAAAGCGAAACCGACGCGACGTGGGGCTTTGCTTGTCCGCGCCGGGTGTTTGGTTCCGAGTCAGTTGGAGTATTAAAAATAAACTAATTATAAAACTAATTACATATATTACGACTAATTTGTGAGACGAATCGGCATGCATCTGATGATCACAGCGATCGGGACGTGACTGCGCTTCAATTCACGGTTTCTACCGAGTAGGGGCCGGTTTGCTTCACGGCGCGGCTTGTGACGTTCGATCATCGCCCAGGGCCGCCAGCTATGCGCTCAAAATCGATGGTTTTTCCTAGCGCTAGCACCAGTAGGGTCTAGGCACGCCAATTCAATCGGCAGCTCAAAAAGTCAAAACCAACGGTTCTAGAGGCCGGCATGGTCCCACGCAGATCTGCCGACAGGCGCTTGGAGTCGACTGTCGAGGATACCTGGATACGGTTCCTCCTCCAGTCTTCCATCGCCGGCGGTCCACATGCATGCTCGTACGTGGAGCTCATCCTTAACTTTGGACAATTCTACTGCAATACCAGTACACGGTATCCATTAGTTTACTTGTCAAACATAAAAGCATTATTGCTATGCTATTGGACCCCAACTGAGATCACATGTATTTTCTCCATTTCATGATTCTTCTTTTGGCTCCTCGATCGCCTGTTTATTCAACTCTTGTTCTTATGGATGGACGAGCCCTCGGCTGCGGCAGTGACAGTGGCTATGCAGGGACGGTGTAAGCTGAGAAAAAAAAAATCGGTAGATGATTTATTAGCTAGACAATCATTCTAGCTTTTCTTACTTGAAAATCAATAAGAATAATTGCTTAATAATAAATAAAGACCGAATAGTACTTACTTCCACATTTGGTATGACTCGGAAGCGGCTTGCCGCACTCGCGTGCAAGGCGAACAAGCTTTTCAACGCTTATCTTTTGCTCGTCCGCATCGTTGATGATGCTGCAGATGCAGACCATGTCAGCTTCCCGATGTCTCATGGTGTCACGACACTTGGGGTGCGGCTCTACATAGCCCGGACCGGGGGCGATGGTTTCCCTGCAGTTGAGGAGAAGTATGGTCTTCGCTCGGTAACAGTCTTGCTCGCCCCAGGCTTGATGATGAGCTGCGAACATGGTAAAAGCTAAGCAAAAGGCCATGGCTTGGAGGATCACTTTTATACCCATCGCGCAGGTTAATTAGTATGGCGGTGGTGATGTAGGGACAAGGTGTGTTCCTGTGTGTTAGCCCTGGAAACGATGTTTTTCTTTTTTGAGAATTTGCAAACGATGAATGTTGATGCTACTCATCAGAGACGTTTATTTATACAGTGGTATGCATACAACAAGTTGAGTCTCACTAGCTATAAAATTAAAGTCGAAGAATCCTCCAACTGGCAGCACCGCGTCCAAAGTCCAAGCCATAATTAAAGCACAAAATAAATGTGTGGAAATCTTTGAGAAATTAACAATTCTACATTACAATCTGAAGCAAGGAAATAATGAATGTCAAGAAATCTTGGAACCAAGAGGTAGACAACATGGATATGGCTCATTTAACGTTGGAACCGAGAGGTAGACACATGCATGGACAAGGTGTTTCTATGTGCTAGCCCTGGAAATGACTTATTGATGCTGCTCAGAGACGTGTATTTATATAGTTATATATGCGCAATGCAGCAAGATGGGTCTCGCTGCAAATTAAAGTCGAAGAATCCTCCAACTGATGGTACCGCACCATAAGTCCAAGTCATAGAGCACAAAAATAAATGTGTGGAAATCTTTGAGAGATCAGAAATTGTACATTATACAATCTGAAACAAGGAAACAATTAATGAATGTTATTAGGAAATCTTGGAACCGAGAGGTAGACAACATGGATATGGCTCATTTAACGTTGGAACCGAGAGGTAGACAACATGCATGGATATGGCTCATTTAATGTTGGAACCTAGAGGTAGACAACATAGATATGGCTCATTTAACGTTGATGCCTGCGGCCAAGATAGTATGTTCAGTTACAAGGGTGTGTTTAGTTTGAGAACAAATTTGGACGGGATATGGTCATCCATATATTTTATTTGGGATGGAGTTATCCATGCTGGATAGATAGACAAATTGTTTTTCTATTTGATTGGATGATGGATAAGAGTTGTGGAACGAGATGAGAATAGTTTACTAATTATATATATTATTTAAAAATAATAACAACTAATTAGATACTAATAAATATGCATCAACACTAATTTTATCATGACAATTACTAAATAAAAATAGAATAGGTTAGTTAGCACCACTACTACCCTAATTAGCACACAAAACATGCACTAATCAACGTATTAGCACTCATCAAAATTAATTTTATCATCATAATTACTAAGTAATAATAAAATATACTAATAATCCTTGATTTATTTACTAACAACAAAGATTACAAAACACGAACAAGGTTGTCCAATCGATTTTTATGGTGAGCTTATCCACTATCTATAGACAATATTCTCCTGTGGCAGATATGCTAGAACCAAAACGATCCTCATCTCTATGAACCGCCGCCATCTCCCATCCAAAATATCCACCAAACCAAACACATCCAAAATTCCAGTCATTATATTAGTTTTGACAATTGCACCATAAGGCTCCTAAACCTGGATAGTGCTGTCACCTATAAACCATAAAAACAACAATTTATTTGCTCTAGGCCCCTTGTCAACAGGTACGATCAATAAAAAACAAAAAAACCTTGTTAAGGAATCATGTTGTACTTGTTAAGAAGAAATCACGTTACTGACCAAGTGCACCATAATTTACTTGTTAAGAAATCTTGTTTTTACCTTTGTTGGTACTCGCTACCAGCAATTTTCTTTTGTGCCACATCCACATAATTTTGTGCATGATCCATAAAATTATTGTCTACTACCCAATTATTGTCATTTTCTCTATTTTGTTTTTCAAATGATATTGCAAATAATTAGTATATACATGCATTGTATGATAAACAACCGCTATCTGAAACTGCTTAGGAAACCGACGCGATGTGGGGCTTGTTCGTGCCGAGAACTCGCCCTGCACTTCTGCCTGCTTAGTGTGTTTTGTTGTTGTTCCTGGCACGCTGACACTAGGAGGCAAGATAATACAGGGGCCTGTTTAGCGTGGCTCCGACACCAGAGTGGACAGAGCCACACCTAACGAGTCCATCTAGAGAAGCGTTTGTGGCGCTAAATACACGGAGCTAGAGCCGCTTTGCAGTACGGAGATGGAGCGGCAAAAAACAGCTCTGTCCGAGCCGAAGCCCATTGACGAGAGCTGCACCAAACGAAGCCTAAATTCTGTCCACGAAACACTCAAAATTGTCTGAATTGCTGCATGGCTAGGCAAATTTGTCCTGACAAATCGCCAACCCCTCGTGGCTGTGCAGAAGGAGAGTTTGCCCAAGATCGTGATTGCGCGAGCAGTTTCTACCGAGTTACTAGTATCATAGTACACCACGGAACTCCTAAAGCGACACTGAATAGGGGAGCGGTTTACTTCACGACGTGGCTTATGACGCTCGCCAACCTAACTACCAGACTTTCAAAATCAGTAGTACTAGAGCTAGCGTGGCTAGCCACGCCAACCCAGCCACCAGACATTCAGCCCGTGTTCAGTTGCAAAAAAAAGTTCCAAAACAGTGCTACAGTATCTATTACATCAAATTTTGCGATACATGCATGGAGCATTAAATGTAGATGAAAAAAAACTAATTACATAGTTTGGTGGGAAATTATGAGACGAACGTTTTGAGCCTAATTAGTCCATGATTGAACACTAGTTACCAAATAAAAATGAAAGTGCTACAGTAGCCAAATTCTAACTTTCCCCTCAACTAAACAAGGGCTCAAAATCGATGGTCCTAGGGATCTAAGTAGACCAGAAAAATCTGCCAAAACGGTCTAGGAATGGAGGATATGGTTCCTCCTCGTGGTCGGTCCTCATGCTCATAAGTATACCTAATCTTTAATTTTTGGATAATGTACTATTATTATTTGTACACATTATTCATTACTTAAATTGCCAAAAATACAACATGCTATTGAGAACCCAACTAAGATCACATTTATTTCTCCATTTCATGAATCTTGGTTTGGTCCCTCGCCTTGTTCAACTCTTATGGGCGAGCTCTCGGCTGTGGCGACGACAGTGGCTGTGCATGGACGATCAAAGCTGAGAAAAAAAGTTTGGTAGATGGTTCAGCTTAAGATCATTCTTCCTTTTCTTACTTGAAAATCACTAAGACAAATTAGTGACAGAATAGTAATATGATCTTTTCCCCTTAGAAGTCAAGATACACATATCATTAGGCACTTACTTCCACATGAGCTTCCAGCCGGAATCGGCTTGCCGCACTCGCGTGCAAGGCGAACAAGCTTTTCAACGCTTATCTTTTCCTCGTCCTCAGCAGTAATTATGCTACAGATGCAGACCATGCCAATATTTCGATGTGTCACGGTTGCACGACATCGCTCGTTTGGGCCTTCATAGTCCGTACCACGAGCGAGGGTTTGATTGCAATTGCCAAGAACTACAGTTTTCTCTCGGTAACAGTCTCGCTCGCCCCAAGCTCGATGGGTTGCAAACATGGTGAAAACTAGAGAAAAGACCATGGTGAAAATTCAGAGACGTCTATTTGTAATGCAATGCAACGAGTTGAGTCTCGCTGCAAATTAAAGTGAAAGAATCCTCCAACTGACAGTACCGCATCAAAAGTCCAAGCCATAGAACACAAAATAAACGTGTAGAAATATTTAAGAAGTTAGCAATTAATTTTACATTACAATCTGAAGCAAGGAAATAATGAATGTCAAGAAATCTTGGAACCGAGAGGTAGGCAACATGGATACGGGTCATTTAACGTTGATGCCTTAGTGGCCAAAATAGTAGGTTCAGTTACAAAATTTGAGACATTATATTACTCTTGAAAATTGCACCATAAGGCTCCTAAACCTGTACGGTGCTGTCACCTAAACCATAAAAACAACAATTTACTTGTTCTAGGCCCCTATCAACGGGGTATGATCAATAAAAACTAAAAAAAACATCGTTAAGGAATCTTGTTATACTTGTTAACAAGAAACCACATTTTTATTGACCAAGTGCACCATAATTTACTTGTTAAGAAATCTTGTTTAACCTATGTTGGTACTGGCTGCCAACAATAATTTTTTGGTGCCACATCCACACAGTTTTTGTGCATAATCCGTACCCTCACAAAAAAAAATATATAATTATTGTCTAGTATCCAATCTAAATTGTCAAATTTCTCTATCTTTTCCAAATGATATTGCAAATTAGATATTTGTTGTTGGTGTTCACTACGCACACATTTAACTATATAGTTTATTAGCAATTCATTATTCATTTAAATTGAATTTTTTCACTACTAAAATAATACAAAAATATACCAGCACAATAACACGAGCTGCTAATGCCGAAAAGCTAAAGGAAAGGTCATTGTGACTATGTATAAAATTATTATATAGGATAATATGTTATTTAGTGATGTCCATACTATTTGTGGGCATTGCTTGCCTCCATTGGCGTTGAAAAGGTTACACTTTGAAAACCTTGCAGTGCAGAATAAAGACGATAAGGAAATCTTTTTTTATTCTTCTAAAATTTTGTTCTTATGGCCCCAAAAGATGCTAGTATTCTCAAAGTAGATAGTACCTCAAAGGTAGTAAAACATTTTATCTCATTTTAAACTTAGGAATTTTTCATCTTTAGAACTTCGGACATGTTTGGTAGAGCTCTTTCTGTTTCAGATTCTCTGACTAAAAATGTTTCCTCTATGATTCTTTAAGGTAAATTCTATGCATATAGTGACTCATGTGTGGAGTGAATCAGCGAAGCTACTTTTCTAGCTCCTAGCCTCCTAATTCATTTCAAAGAATTACTTTGCATAATCAGCATTGAATCACTTTTTAATAGAAAAAATATTTGACAGAGCTTCTCCTGGATTCATCTTAAAAGTTGCTCTAGGAGCTTTGCCAAACAGACTCTTATAATATACTTATTTTCTAGAACACAATAATTTTCACTAATGCAATAATACAAAAGATACAAACCCATGCTTTTCCTCTCTATAGTGAAGTGGCAGTGCTCCAACCTCCAATTCACGCTGCGTCATTGGACGGGAAAAAAATATACGA